AAAGTATTTGTGATACCACCACGCAGCATTGACATACCAGTGCTGCCTATGAAAATTGGAGACGACGATGAAAGACTTCTATTTCCCCTTTGCTCCACTTGTGCAAAGGAACACCCAAATGGAGATGTGAATGAGAACTACAGCTGCAAACACACAGACAAACAACGGGGATGGGTCTCTACATGTACATCAATAGAGTTGAATGAAGCATTGAAAGAAGGATATGTGGTCACCAAAGTCTTCAGAGTTTTGGAATTTAAGAAATACGATGACAACCTCTTTCGTCCCTACATCCGTGAATTTATGGCACAAAAAATTCACGCAAGCGGCTTTGACAAAGACATCAAAGGTGACCAGCTGAAAGAAGAGAACTTCATCAAGGAGTGCAAAGAAAAGTTTGGAATCATCATCGACAGAGAAAAAATGAAGGTCAATAAAGGTAAAAGGACGCAAGCCAAATTATGTCTCAACAACTTATGGGGCCGTTTCTCTCTCCGTAACTTTGGATTGTCTCAATGTGTAGTTACGGATGACCCTGCTGTGTACACCAAATATTCAAACGACCCTTCACTTATTATCAACTTTTTTGAAGAATTGACCGACGACATACTTTTAATCTCTTACACCAAGAAGAAGGAATTTGTGGAAGAACATGACTCATCAAATGTCATCATCTCGTTGTGGACCACATCAGCAGCGAGGATCCACTTGCTTCACGCCATGCAACAGGTTGTGAGAACTCCTGGCTGCACTTTGCTCTACACCGACACCGACTCCTTAATCTTTTCTCACCCAGCTGACAACTGCCCTCTTCAATTAGGTCCTCATCTGGGTGAATTCACAGATGAGTACCCGGACTTCAATATTTTGGAATATTGTTCTGGTGGCGCGAAACAGTATGGTTTGAAGATGGAAAAGAAGGATGAACCTGGCTGTAAACCTGTCTACGTGCTCAAAGTGCGTGGAATGACTCTGAATTGGGATGCAATCAACAATCAAGGAATGCGGTATGAGACGTTTAGAGAAAAAGTGTTCAATTTTGCTGAAGGTGATTATGATCCCATTATTGTTTCATATCCCAATTTTTTACGTCCATCTGTTAAAGATGGATCTGTTACCACTCTACCTCTTAAGAAAATTTATAAACCCTATGTCGGAAAGGGAGTAGTCCGCCCTTCCGATTTTTCTGTATTGGACTTTGGATTTATCAACATGTAATTTTTCCCCAAATTAACTTGGAGATGGAAAGTAGCCAGGGGTATGGGCACCCAAACTCTATACCAACCATCGTAATGTTGCGAGTCACACCTCTCATTGACTTGTCGATGAATATCAAATGTGTAATTCACATATTGTGAGGTAATCCTCGCATTGAAAATCGGTGGTAGCGGACTTGAGTAAATTCTCAAGTCCCTGGTTGAGTTTGGTGATGTCTGTCGAATGGCGAAGCCATTCTCCTTCCCTTTTTTATTCACTTTTTTCTATTTTAATTCATTATTTACTCATTATTGTATTTAATTTTTATTCGTGATAAAAAATTTTATAATATGTTGTTTTAAAAATACAATATTAAGAAAAATTAGGATAAAATAAATTACAGAATTAAGAGAAATAGGTTTACAATTTTAGGGGTAAAATTGCATAATTAAGGAAAAATGTTTACATTTTTTAAAAATACATTTACATAATTAAGTGTAAAGTGCGGAATTAAGGAAAGAAACATTACAATTTTAGGGGTAAAATTGCGGAATTAAGGAAAAATATCACATTTTTATCATTTTTCAGTGTAAATAGGGGTACATACATGGGGGTGCATATACCTATAGAGTGCATAGATATCTTTACCATTTATCCTGACTTAGGTCTCCTCTATAAATTTCATCATCTTCTTCCTTGCTCATAAATATTGTTGGGCTTCCAAGTGAGGAAATTGAATTTGTTTTTGATTTATCTTCTTGTAGTGTTAAACGTCCCATCTCTACTGCTAAACGATTTATCTTGTCCATGTGTTCTTCATCAACGAACTCCAATACTTCCAAAGGATAAAAACGATCCTTCTCTAACGGTCTGCGATCGATAACACAATTCAAATAAGGGTTGCGCAGACGAATACGATGCCTTGTGTAAAAATGTTGCGATATAGTAACATTATAATGACTCCTAAGACGTCCATAGGCGCGAATTCTATTTGCGCCTTTTCTTGTCAAACCTCCAAATAAAAAAGTTTTCCTCTGATAATCTTTGTTTAGATAGGTTGTTTGAACTTTACGATCCAAAAATTCTTTCATAACTCGTATACGAGTCTGAGGATTTACTAGATGTCCGCTTAGACTAAGAACTGAACATTCAAGGAAGCGCGCGATTTCATCGATTACGCGGACCATTTTTGAATAAAGAATTTAATAAAATGAAGAATGAAAAATTTGTTACAAGATATTTGGGTTTATATATGACTCCTCCGTACTTTTTTCATAACTGGTTATTAGCCCTATCTACACCTCAATGTGAAGTTAACCTATTTTTAGCACACACACATCAAAATTTGACTCATTCTTGGTAAATTGATTAAAAAATTCAAGGTGTTAGGTGAGCTTGGCTTAATTATTATGGACTTACATCTTAAAATACAATTCATTACTAAATTATTATTGTATTATATTTTTATTATTGATAAAAATTAAAATGTTTTTTTTATTTAATTTAAATAAATATTTAATTAAAAATATTTAAGGTATAATTACTTATTTGATTTTAATATCACTTTTTTTTGCTCAGGTAAATCTAAATTAATTTTATTTAATTTATTATCTTTATATATATTGTTTCTGATAATCCTATTGTAATTTCACTAATTTTTCAACCAGAAGCAACAACAGACACATAAAATACATAGATGTAGGCGTTGTAGAGCAGACTTCTTTATTGGTTGGTTGGTAATTTTTAAAAAATAAAAATTTATTCACAAGTTAAAAGTTAAAAGGTTTGACCTTCAGATGGTTCTCCTTTGCCAGAAACTTAAAAAATCTGTACAAGAAACATTTGAAGAACTGGATCAGTGTTTAGAACAATTAGAGACATTTCAAATTTGTCCTTAGATTGTAGATAATAGATTTATATCTTCCTTAGCTGTAGACACCCAGGTGCACTATTTGATTTATCGGGGTGTCCACAAATTCATGAGACTGACACCCAGTCGCTTAGATAGTATACTTAATTACTCTAATTATTTATTTTCATGTAAATTACTAATTGGACTAAATCAAAGGATTAGAGATAACAGATATCAACCTATACTCAAAGAAGTCAAGTGTAAATTTAACTACCTACTAAATAATTCCATAGAATTTGTACAATATTTAAATTAAGCCAAAGGGTTTAGAGACTTCTCGTACTGACCAATGACGCGTCAATCCAAAAGGCTTAAGAGAAATTTTTTAATTTTGATAGTTGAGGAAAAGGAGTCAATTAAATAGAATAATAATAAAATGGAAAAAATTAAAATTTTGGTCGAATACAGACAAAATTTTAATTTTTTCCATTTTATTATTATTCTATTTAATTGACTCCTTTTCCTCAACTATCAAAATTAAAAAATTCTCTTAAGCCTTTTGGATTGACGCGTCATTGGTCAGTACGAGAAGTCTCTAAACCCTTTGGCTTAATTTAAATATTGTACAAATTCTATGGAATTATTTAGTAGGTAGTTAAATTTACACTTGACTTCTTTGAGTATAGGTTGATATCTGTTATCTCTAATCCTTTGATTTAGTCCAATTAGTAATTTACATGAAAATAAATAATTAGAGTAATTAAGTATACTATCTAAGCGACTGGGTGTCAGTCTCATGAATTTGTGGACACCCCGATAAATCAAATAGTGCACCTGGGTGTCTACAGCTAAGGAAGATATAAATCTATTATCTACAATCTAAGGACAAATTTGAAATGTCTCTAATTGTTCTAAACACTGATCCAGTTCTTCAAATGTTTCTTGTACAGATTTTTTAAGTTTCTGGCAAAGGAGAACCATCTGAAGGTCAAACCTTTTAACTTTTAACTTGTGAATAAATTTTTATTTTTTAAAAATTACCAACCAACCAATAAAGAAGTCTGCTCTACAACGCCTACATCTATGTATTTTATGTGTCTGTTGTTGCTTCTGGTTGAAAAATTAGTGAAATTACAATAGGATTATCAGAAACAATATATATAAAGATAATAAATTAAATAAAATTAATTTAGATTTACCTGAGCAAAAAAAAAGTGATATTAAAATCAAATAAGTAATTATACCTTAAATATTTTTAATTAAATATTTATTTAAATTAAATAAAAAAAACATTTTAATTTTTATCAATAATAAAAATATAATACAATAATAATTTAGTAATGAATTGTATTTTAAGATGTAAGTCCATAATAATTAAGCCAAGCTCACCTAACACCTTGAATTTTTTAATCAATTTACCAAGAATGAGTCAAATTTTGATGTGTGTGTGCTAAAAATAGGTTAACTTCACATTGAGGTGTAGATAGGGCTAATAACCAGTTATGAAAAAAGTACGGAGGAGTCATATATAAACCCAAATATCTTGTAACAAATTTTTCATTCTTCATTTTATTAAATTCTTTATTCAAAAATGGTCCGCGTAATCGATGAAATCGCGCGCTTCCTTGAATGTTCAGTTCTTAGTCTAAGCGGACATCTAGTAAATCCTCAGACTCGTATACGAGTTATGAAAGAATTTTTGGATCGTAAAGTTCAAACAACCTATCTAAACAAAGATTATCAGAGGAAAACTTTTTTATTTGGAGGTTTGACAAGAAAAGGCGCAAATAGAATTCGCGCCTATGGACGTCTTAGGAGTCATTATAATGTTACTATATCGCAACATTTTTACACAAGGCATCGTATTCGTCTGCGCAACCCTTATTTGAATTGTGTTATCGATCGCAGACCGTTAGAGAAGGATCGTTTTTATCCTTTGGAAGTATTGGAGTTCGTTGATGAAGAACACATGGACAAGATAAATCGTTTAGCAGTAGAGATGGGACGTTTAACACTACAAGAAGATAAATCAAAAACAAATTCAATTTCCTCACTTGGAAGCCCAACAATATTTATGAGCAAGGAAGAAGATGATGAAATTTATAGAGGAGACCTAAGTCAGGATAAATGGTAAAGATATCTATGCACTCTATAGGTATATGCACCCCCATGTATGTACCCCTATTTACACTGAAAAATGATAAAAATGTGATATTTTTCCTTAATTCCGCAATTTTACCCCTAAAATTGTAATGTTTCTTTCCTTAATTCCGCACTTTACACTTAATTATGTAAATGTATTTTTAAAAAATGTAAACATTTTTCCTTAATTATGCAATTTTACCCCTAAAATTGTAAACCTATTTCTCTTAATTCTGTAATTTATTTTATCCTAATTTTTCTTAATATTGTATTTTTAAAACAACATATTATAAAATTTTTTATCACGAATAAAAATTAAATACAATAATGAGTAAATAATGAATTAAAATAGAAAAAAGTGAATAAAAAAGGGAAGGAGAATGGCTTCGCCATTCGACAGACATCACCAAACTCAACCAGGGACTTGAGAATTTACTCAAGTCCGCTACCACCGATTTTCAATGCGAGGATTACCTCACAATATGTGAATTACACATTTGATATTCATCGACAAGTCAATGAGAGGTGTGACTCGCAACATTACGATGGTTGGTATAGAGTTTGGGTGCCCATACCCCTGGCTACTTTCCATCTCCAAGTTAATTTGGGGAAAAATTACATGTTGATAAATCCAAAGTCCAATACAGAAAAATCGGAAGGGCGGACTACTCCCTTTCCGACATAGGGTTTATAAATTTTCTTAAGAGGTAGAGTGGTAACAGATCCATCTTTAACAGATGGACGTAAAAAATTGGGATATGAAACAATAATGGGATCATAATCACCTTCAGCAAAATTGAACACTTTTTCTCTAAACGTCTCATACCGCATTCCTTGATTGTTGATTGCATCCCAATTCAGAGTCATTCCACGCACTTTGAGCACGTAGACAGGTTTACAGCCAGGTTCATCCTTCTTTTCCATCTTCAAACCATACTGTTTCGCGCCACCAGAACAATATTCCAAAATATTGAAGTCCGGGTACTCATCTGTGAATTCACCCAGATGAGGACCTAATTGAAGAGGGCAGTTGTCAGCTGGGTGAGAAAAGATTAAGGAGTCGGTGTCGGTGTAGAGCAAAGTGCAGCCAGGAGTTCTCACAACCTGTTGCATGGCGTGAAGCAAGTGGATCCTCGCTGCTGATGTGGTCCACAACGAGATGATGACATTTGATGAGTCATGTTCTTCCACAAATTCCTTCTTCTTGGTGTAAGAGATTAAAAGTATGTCGTCGGTCAATTCTTCAAAAAAGTTGATAATAAGTGAAGGGTCGTTTGAATATTTGGTGTACACAGCAGGGTCATCCGTAACTACACATTGAGACAATCCAAAGTTACGGAGAGAGAAACGGCCCCATAAGTTGTTGAGACATAATTTGGCTTGCGTCCTTTTACCTTTATTGACCTTCATTTTTTCTCTGTCGATGATGATTCCAAACTTTTCTTTGCACTCCTTGATGAAGTTCTCTTCTTTCAGCTGGTCTCCTTTGATGTCTTTGTCAAAGCCGCTTGCGTGAATTTTTTGTGCCATAAATTCACGGATGTAGGGACGAAAGAGGTTGTCATCGTATTTCTTAAATTCCAAAACTCTGAAGACTTTGGTGACCACATATCCTTCTTTCAATGCTTCATTCAACTCTATTGATGTACATGTAGAGACCCATCCCCGTTGTTTGTCTGTGTGTTTGCAGCTGTAGTTCTCATTCACATCTCCATTTGGGTGTTCCTTTGCACAAGTGGAGCAAAGGGGAAATAGAAGTCTTTCATCGTCGTCTCCAATTTTCATAGGCAGCACTGGTATGTCAATGCTGCGTGGTGGTATCACAAATACTTTTAGAAGAGCCAATTCATAAGTGTTGTCTGAGGGTTGAGTCCAGTTGACGTCGTTGTTCAAAATATGCACCTCGGGGTGACCAATTGGGTAACGTGTTGACACATTGATGAACGGGTACAAGGAGGTCACATCATAGTAGGAAATTTTTTGCCCTTCCCCCGTTTTATGGAATAGTTTGAGTGGTCCGGTTCTCCCCCCAAAGAAGGCCGATCGAATATCGATCGGTCCATTATCCAAATAATTTTTAAACTTTAACCTCATAACCCTATCCCTTGAAAGCATCCCCCTTATTTCACACTCCCAATAAACTTCCACTTCAACTCCAAAGCTTTCAATAAATTCCAAACGTTTTTCATCCCTCTCCCTTTGAATCCCCGCTGTAACCCCATTGGGAAGCCTTATTTCATCATCTGGGAAACATTTCCTACACCCATGCCAACAGCACCCATTGATCTCTATAACCAATTTCTTTTCTTCTACCCACCCATCTACCCTATAATTCCCAAACCTCTTTTCCCCTTCTTTAGAATAAGCATTACGTATGTTGACATTGTGTTCCTCAGCGTACCAGCTGAGGAATCGAAGAGCAAGCAAACTCTGGTTGTCTGCGTTGTCGTAGCCCTTCTCTGGAACAATTCCAAGGTGTTGAGATGCCAAATGGTTTGTTCTAAAGTGTTTCATGCAGGCACTTGCAATTGTCATCGCCTCCCTCAGCACATCCAATCCATTTGACACATCCAAGAATTCGCGCCGAAATGCAACCAGGGCAGCCATCAGAATTTCCACGTCGTTGGTACAATATGACGCCAAGGCTTCATCGAGATTGAAGGGTTCTTCCTTGTGTTGTTCATACCATTTATCAAATTGTGCTCTCTTGTCGGGCATCATTCCATCAGCCAAGTAGTCCTCCTTCACCGGGAAAATTTCCTTACCATAATTTTCCGGTCTATTTACCATGTGTGGGAAGAAAGGTTTGTCCTCTACACTAAGTGCAAAGGCAGGGACCAAGGAAGCAAGGGACATGGGCATTAAATTAAATGTGTCCCTAAAAATAACCCAATTCTTTTTACCAACTTTTACCTTCATTTCATATAGCTTATTACCTTTTTTAATCATGTCTGGGGTCAACCCTCTAAGAAATAATTCCTTGAAAACTAATACCATATCAAATCTACCCCCAAAGTGTGAGAAGGCAACCGTGTCTGTCACGCTAGAATCGATAATCCATGACACAAACTCTTCTAAGGGATTCTCTGTGACATTTTGAATGTCAACAGGTGTGTTTTGGAAAGGTCTCGTAGAAAAAGTTATCGTTCTATCTTCCCCACAAACACTACAATCAGTGTTATGTCCATTAGTGATACACCCGGGGCAGTTTACTTTTACCCCTATAAAGTTAACATCGTGCATTTTACCTTTTTCCCCTTCCCGGTATTGCATGGTTTCAAAATCAAAGGCGATAATTCGGTACGCCTTTGGGGGTTTAATGACAAGGGGCTTGATGTAACACCCGCGTTTGGGATCATGGTAGCTACCACACGTTGTGCAATAGCGTTCGGAGCAAACGTGACCTTTCCTCCCATTCCTATTATTATCTTTAACATCCCAGATAACCCCACATTTTTCACATTTTTTGGAGGAATTACAGAAATTTGAGGTGATATGGTGGGTAAAACAATTCTCATTCTTAAACTCTTTCCCACACCCACTACAATGCTTAAAGAAGTTATTTAAATTTTTACAAGGAAACTCGGGGCCAACCCTGGAACAGTTAGGACATCTAGCTTTACACGCGATTGAATGGTTAGTTTTCTTATCATAGACGCTTTCACAGGATAAGCAATAGGGTTGTCCAAAAAGATCGCTTGCCCTACGGACCCCGTCAAAGTGTTCCTTATTATAGTACAAAATTATGGAGGTATCAAAATTATCGGGGCCATATTTATAAATAGGTTTTTCCCCCAAATCCCCAAATATAAAAACTTTAAACCATCCTTTATTCAATAAATTCCAATATTCAACCACAGATGGGATCCAATCTTCTGCATCGTAGCTGTCCTGGTCAGTGGGCGCATCAACACTTTGCATTAGTTCCATTGTGTCTTTCTTGAAGAGATGAGCCATGCCGAATCTGTTGTGTAAATAGTCGTAAAATTTCCATCTGGGCCATAGGGAGGTAGCATAAATAAAGGTGGCAACAAGAGAGTAGAACAAGCAATAATTATCGTTGTTGCGAATTTTGATGAGAGCATTGTCATTAATTTTAAGTTGTTTTGCTGATGAATTTCTTCCACGACCGTGCACTCGACGAGGGGTGTCACTTCGTTGAATAGTTGAAACCGAAACTAGAAAAGGAGTCCCCCATAACATACCATTATCTTGTTTCTTACTCTGGGCTACCTTTAGAAATTGATTCAAGATTGAATCAATCGTGTTGGGGGTGATTTCCCGGACTGGAATCCAGACGTCCGAGTCAAGGTGTTGACTCGATATTATACAACCTAATTGGTCAGGTTCAACCCCCCATTGACGACTCTCTTCAAGAGCTTCATCAATTGTATTTTGGAAAATCCCCGCTAGAAGGGATTCAGGGTCATTGGGGAGGTCAGAAATAAGGAACCTAGTGGAAACTTTGGACGAATTAAATTTTCGGTTAAACTTGGTCTCATGACCAAGCTTCTTTACATAGGGGTTATTAGTTTGGGAACCTAATAAATGTGAAATGGTAAAATTCTTAAATTTTTTGGGTGGAGGAGGAAACATTTTTAAAAAAGTTTGAAAAAGATGTAAGTTTGTTTTGTTTCGAAGTAGTAGATGTTGAACAGTAGAATGATTTTTTCAGTTAAAAGCAATCACTTTTTATACTTCCGTTCTAGCTCCACCTAAAAGGATTTTCAAATTAAACACAGCTGGATTTTTTAAAGAAATTTTTTAACTAGGTTAAAATTTTTAATATAACCTTGAAAAATTGACCTAATTTTTTAAAATTTTATAAATTTTATTTAGGAGGGTATTGTAGTAACGGGTTAACAAGCAAGAGATAGAAACAATGTAGACGAAGATGGTTTGGTTGGATAGAAGCACAATATTTAACTATTACTCCCTATTTTAACCTCTATTTCCATATTTTTTTTAATTTCTTCCATTCTTTTCTTTTTC